CTAGCTAAGATAATTAATGCAGGTGGTTACACTAAACAACAGATTTTCAGTGTAGATGGAACAACCTTATATTGGAAGAAGATGCCATCTAGGACTTTCATAGCTAGAAAGGAGAAGTCAATACCTGGCTTGAAAGCTTCAAAGGACAGGCTGACTCTCTTGTTATGGGTGACTGCAACTGGTGACTTTAAATTGAAGCCAGTGCTCATTTACCCTTTTGAAAATCCTAGGGCCCTTAAGAATTATGCTAAATCTATTCTGCCTGTGCTCTATAAATGGAACCACAAAGCCTGGATGACAGCACATCTGTTTACTGCATGGTTTACTGAATATTTTAAGCCCGCTGTTGAGACCTACTGCTCAGAAAAACAGATTCCTTGCAGAATATTACTGCTCGTTGACAATGCACCTGGTCACCCAAGAACTCTGATAGAGATGTAGGACAGGACTAATGTTGTTTTATGCCTGCTAACACAACATCCATTCTGTAGCCCATCGATTGAGGAGTAATTTTGACTTTCAAGTCTTATTATTTAAGAAATACATTTTGTAAGGCTGTAGCTGCCATAGATAGAAATTCCTCTGGTGGATATGGGCAAAGTCAATTTAAATTGAAAACCATTCTAGATGCCATTAAGACCTTTCATGATTCATGGGAAGAGGTCAAAATTATCAACATTAACAGGAGTTTGGAAGAAGTTGAATCCAACCCTCACAGATGACTTTGAAGGGTTCAAGATTTCAGTGGAGGAAGTAACTGCAAATGTGGTGGAAATAGCAAGAGAACCAGAATTAGAAGTGGAGCCTGAAGATGTGACTGAATTGCTGTCTCTCATGATAAAACTTTAATGGATGAGGAGTTGCTTCCTGTGGATGAACAAAGAAAATGGTTTCCTGAAATGGAATCTACTAGTGAGGATGCTGTGAAGCTTATAGAAATGACAACAAAGGATTTAGAATATTACGTAAACTTAGTTGATAAAGCAGTGGCAGGGTTCGAGAGGATTGACTCCAATTTTGAAAAAAAGTTCTACTGTGGATAAAATGCTATCAATCAGCATCACATGCTACAGAGAATACAGTTTGTGAAAGGAAGAATCGATCAATGTAGCAAACTTCATTGTAGTCTTATTTTAAGAAATTGTCATAGCCACCCCAACCTTCAGCAACCACCACCCTGATCAGTCAGCAGCCATCAACATTGAGGCAAGACCCTCTACCAGCAAAAAGATTACCACTCACTGAAGGCTCAGATGATGGTTAGCATATTTTAGCAATAAAGTATTTTTAAATTAAGGTATGTACATTGTTTTTTTAGACATAATGCTATTGAATACTTAATAGACTACAATATAGAGTAAACATAACTTTTATGTGCACTGAGAAACTAAAAAATTCACGTAACTCGCTTTATTGCGATGTTAGCTTTATTGCCATGTTCACTTTATTGCGATATTCGCTTTATTGCATTGGTCTGGAACTGAACCTGCAGTGTCTCTGAGTTATGCCTATATAAGGCAGAAAACAGCCCTCCTTGTGTTTTTAGTTAATTCTAAGGTCGTATTGACTGTTTTACAGTTTAGAGGAAAGGCAGGAAAGTAAAAAATGGTCATAGTTCAATGTGATAATTACATTAATAAAGGAATAGTGTAAGAGGGATGTCTAATTCAGAGTGGATTGGGAGATTTCCAGAGAATTTCATGCTTGAGCTTGGTTTTGAATAGTGAGTTTGCATTAAGCTGGTGAGGGAGGGAGGTATGTTGGGAGAGGAGACATTTTAGGCATGGGGAGCACTGTATGTAAAAGGCAAAATGAATGAGATAATGTGAAGTCCTGGGGAACTGCAGGTGCTTCAGAATTGTGGAAGGATGCAGTATAGTAAGAGGACAAAGGAAATGCAGGAAACATAGTAGAAGACTTTGATGGTTATTCCAAAGAAGTGGGATGTCATCTTCTAGCAAATGATGAGTCTTTTATATCAATGAAAAGATGTAATCTGATTTTTGTATTAGAAAGATCACTCTTTTGTCATCGTGGGATAAGTTCAAAAACAGGGAGGCCACTAGGTGAGGAATGATGAAGGTCTAAGCCAAAGCAATGGTTACGGTGACTAGAGAAAAGGGGATAGATTTGAGCATCCCTGAGGAAGAGTACAAAATAGAACTTGCAGATAATTTGACTGTGATGAGTGAGGGAAAAGAACGAGTTTTGGAGGATTTTTGTGTATTTTAACCTTGGCAAGCAATTAGGATTTCTGTTTGCCAAGATATAGAGTATAGAAGAAAGGATAGATGAAGATAACTTCAGTTTAAGATAATACATGAATTTGATGTCGCTTCAGGTCGACCTAGTGGAGAGGTCGGTAGACTGTGGAACACATGCGTGTGGCAGTCAAGTGAGAGCTGGGCTGGAGATATAAAGAGGGGAGTCACTGTCATGTAGGTGGAGCTGACTTCCTGTGAATGGGTGTCATCTCCCTGGGGAACTTTGCAAAAAGGTAAAGGACATTTAAGGGTCAATGAAGAAAGAAGGGAAGCCTGTGAAGAAGATTGAGTAGGAATGCTGGTAAGTGTGAGGAAAACCAGGAGAGAAGGGCATCCTGATAAAACAGGGAGGGAGCAAGTGTCATGCCAGATAGATAGAAGTGAAGAGGTAGTGAACAAATGAATACAGACTATGATTTGGGGAAGTTTGGATGAAGAAGCTGAAACCATGAATTTGTGGTAGGTAATGCCTACATTCTGACGGTTTCAGGTGCTAAGACTTTTGAGTCAGAAAAACTGGATTCAAATCACATTGTTTCATCACGTGTTAGTAGTATAAAAAATTCTTTTTTTTTTTTTTAAGAAAAGCATTGCTTTATTTGACTACATAAAATTAAAAAATTTTACATGTTAAAAAACCATAAACACCTCATACATTGCTGGTGGGATTTTAAAATGGTGCAGCCATTCTGGAAACAGTAAGGCAGTTCCTAAAAAATGTTAAACAGAGTTACCATATGACCCAGAAATTCTACTCCTAGGAATATACCCAAGAGAAATGAAAATATATGTCCACATAAAAACTTGTACACAAATGTTCACAGTAGCCCAAAATTGGAAACAACCCATGTGTCTATCCACGAATAAATGGATAAACAAAAACTGGTATACCCATACAATGGAATATTATTCAGCCATAAAAAGGAACTAAATACTGGTACATGTTACAACATGGATGAACCCTGAAAACATTATGCCAAGTGAAAGAAGCCAGTCACAAAAGATCATATATTGTGTGTATATTTTATGTATGTTCATATATTTATATGAAATGCCCAGAATAGGCAACTACACAGAAACAGAAATAGATTAGTGGTACCAGGGGATGATGGGTCTGGGAGGATGAAGAATGACTGCTAATAAGTTGGAGGTTGCTATCTGGAGTGATGAAAATGTTCTGAAATTAGATGGTGGTGATGGTTTCATAACTCTGTGAATATATAAAAACAACTAAATTGTATACTTTAAAAGGGTGAATTTTATGGTTTGTGAATTATTTCTCAATAAAGTTATTAAAACAACATAAACAGCTGTTATTAAAAAACAGACAACAGCAAAGCTAATGACAAAGAAAAAAATTGTAACATTTCAGAGATGGTTAATATCTATAAAACACAAGGAGTTTTTATATAAAGTAATATAACAAATTCTAGATGCCTTCATTTCCTAACTGATGCAAAGGAGAGCTATGAGAATTAAATGAGATGAATGTTGAAGTACATGTTATTATCTTCAGTCTCCATTTCACTTTAGATGCTTTTGAATCAGTGTGTAGATGGGGTTAAATGTTTAGGCAACTAAAGTAATGACTTCAGAGTAGAACTTGGGTATCATGAAATTCTAATTATTGTGTTCTCTTGCGTATGATGCTATTTTGTCTTCCTAGTTCAGAAAAATGCCACTCTTTTATTCATTTCACAGTTATTTATTACATTTCTACTATGTGCAGGCACCAAACTAATTGTTGAGGGAACCAGGATGATTCAACCACTGTTCCTGCTTTCAAGAAGCTATGATCTAGAAGGGTAAAGGACAGATAAGAGAGAGATGCACACAGAGTAGAGGCGAGGCAATGGGGAGTAGGGAGTGGAGTTCAAGGAAGGTTTCCCAAAAGTGAAACCTGAATGGAGAAGGATGAGTAGGAGTTATCTAGGTAAAGCAGAAGGTGGAGGAATGGAGGTTAGAAGGGAAGGCAGTAATGTAAAGCAAGGGTGAAACTCACAATTAACCTAGAATAAGGTAGATACTGGAGCAACCAACAGCGATGTGTTGCCAGACTGCCAGATGGATGGAAGGGATGTGTTGGGGTATGAAGCCAAGGGCCACATTATGAAAGCCCTTATATGGCATTCAAGTGAGCTTAGGTTTTTATCCTAATGGCAATTGGAAATGGTTGAAATTTTAATCAAGCAGTGAAAATGGCTAGATTTTTGTCTTAGGTAGATTATTTTGAGGCAAGAATGAGGGAGGAATTGAAGATAATCTATCCTGAAGTAGGAAGAACTACTAGAGAAGGGAGTTTATAGTAGTTTGGGCAATGAGTAAGAGCATGGCAGTATGGGTTAGAAAGCTTGTTCAAGGAATATTTGGGAAGAAAAATGGCAGCTCTTGCTGATGGGTGTAGTGGGGTAGAGTGGGAAGGGGAAGGGGTGGCTTCAGGGGTATCTTAGGTTTTGAAGGTGGCTGTATTGGTGGTGTCATAACACTTGAGATTGCAGGGGAGATGATGAGTTTATTCTTTTAGTTTTCCTCTAGCACAAGAAACTAATTTATTAGATATTTCCATTTTGCTATGTAGATAATTCCATGATAATTTTTTCCCCAGTACTTCTTTTGACATTATAGTTGTTAGATGTCTGGGTCTTTTCTGTTCCTTATGAAGAGCAACGCTTTGCTTTCTAAATTTCTATTTATGCCTAACTCTCCCTTTTCTTCCTTAATTCTTTTAACCTCCAGGAAGAACCTAAGAAAGTCCGCTTTGATTATGACTTATTCCTGCATCTTGAAGGCCATCCACCAGTGAATCACCTCCGCTGTGAAAAGCTAACTTTCAACAACCCAACAGAGGAGTTTAGAAGAAAGTTGCTGAAGGCAGGAGGGGTAAGTGGCACTGTCTTGTGAAAAGCTTTCCCATAAAAAACTAGTTGCTAGTATGTTAAGAAGTAGAATAATGTTTTGAGATAGGTAAAAGAGATGAGGTACCTTAATGGCTTAGCTGTGGCCTCATGGTTTGAGATGAAGAGATAAGCAAACAAAAATATCCTAAGTAGGTATGTGTCTGAAGTTACATTGTTGTTAGAATAGCCTTATAGTCAATGCAGCTCAAATTTATTTCAACAAAAAAGCTAAAACCAATAAAACTATCCTCAATTAAGAAAAGAATAATGTTATATCATTATATCAAAAAAGAATTTTGTTATATCAGTTTATGGAAACTTTTGGGTGTAGCTGAAAGTCACGTTAAAAATTATATTAAAAAAAAAATGGGGCCGGCCCCATGGCTTAGCGGTTAAGTGTGCGTGCTCCGCTACTGGTGGCCTGGGTTCAGATCCCGGGCGCGCACCAACGCACTGCTTCTCCGGCCATGCTGAGGTGGCGTCCTACATACAGCAACTAGAAGGATGTACAACTATTACACACAACTACCTACTGGGGCTTTGGGGAGAAAAAGGAAAAAAGGAGGATTGGCGATAGATGTTAGCTCAGGGCTGATCTTCCTCACACACACACAAAAAAAACATTAACCACAATACCATTAAAAAAAAAAATTATATGAAAAAGATGGGGCCGGCCTGGTGGCGTAGTGGTTAAGTTCGTGTACTCCGCTTTGGCGGCCTGGGGTTCACAGGTTCGGATCTTGGGCATGGACCTACCTACCGCTTGCCAAGCCGTGCTGTGGCAGGCGTCCCACATATAAAGTAGAGGAAGATGGGCACGAATGTTAGCCTGGGGCCAACCTTCCTCAGCAAAAGGAGGAGGATTAGCATCAGATGTTAGCTCAGAGCTACTCTTGCTCACCAAAAAAAAAAAAAAAAAAGTTAAAAATAAATTATATAAAAAGGAGTTATTGTCCAAACTTTCTTGATCAAAATTAATAGAAAATGTGTACTCACAGTACATGTTTGGGTCATTTAAATGTGCTTTTTTGTTTGTCTGAATTGTATGTAGGTAAAAGATGGATTTTCCTTTTTAAGATAACAAAGGTGTAGTAAATTTTTGCCTGTGTGATTTGGCTAGGAAGGGGAAAGATTTTTAAGTAGTTTCTTGCATACATAAACATAGGGAATGTTTGCTTGCAGCTAAGTCACGTATAAACGCTATTGACTGGTTAAAATCTACTTTACAATGGGTGCCACTGGGATCATCAGCCTCTGCTTCAGATGAAAGTCCTGTGTCATCTTATGCGGGCAGTTCAGACCCCTTAAAGTGTCAAAATGTGTTCTTTATTCTAGAATTTCCTTCACTTAGTTTTTCCAGAAGTTTTTTGATAGTTTTCATTCCAGGAACTTATCATTTCTACATAAGCATATGTAGATCATAACTTCTTAAGATACTTTAATTCACTGATAAACTCGACCTGAGGGCTTGTAGGAAAGAGATGGGTTTTATATAGCACAGAAGTTTTTTCCCTTTACGGGGTTGTGGACAACCACTGAACCTCAAGAAAGCTATGGACCTCTCATAAGAAAAGCACTGACATATGTAATTGTGTGAACATTTTGGGTTATGTGGAACCCCTGAGTCCATTTTTTGCAGTGCTATTTTGCCAGGCTCCCATCCTTTCAGCTGAACTGCTAATATGCGTTTGAAGCATTGCAAGGTGCACATTTCATTCCGGACCCTCCTATTTGTCAGTAGATTATGGGTTAAATAGGTGTTGGTGGGCTAGCTTTGGAAATGAACCACCACTTATAGTATTTTATGGGGAAATGCATCTTCATGAAGAAATGGGCTTTTGTAATACAGCTCGTCTTAAAGTTAGGGATTTATTATATATTTATTAAGGAAGTCATTTATTAAAAAATCCCTATTTTATTCATTTTATAGTTATCAAAAGCACAGTGTTGATGCTATTTACCTATGGCTATACCCTTAAAAATGAACTGGTCCATTTTAAATCCTAATTCTCATTATGTTTCTTTTTAGGAGGGTGGCATTTTATACTTCTGATTATTCCTCTTGGGTATGTAGTTAGGTAGGTAATTGGAGTGTGTGAATTATGGAACTTGAGTACATCAGGCTTCTGATAAGGGTCGTAGGAAAAAGTAAATATGACACAAGAACTTTTTAAAACAACCACTTAATTCCAGAGTACTCAAGGTTTGCTTGTGAGCTAAAGAAGAGGTTACAGGTCAGTGATAAGGCAGCGGAGTGCAGCACTGTGTCCTGATATGGTCTCTAGTGGATTTCTCTCTTTTGCTCCACTCAGCCTTTATCTCAGAATTATCCTCCTTGACTTCTAACTTTCCTTCTTTGTGTTTCTTTAAGTGCTGTTTGAAGCCTGCAGATTCCTTTCCTGTTAGACTTAGATTGTGACAACTCTGAAATAACAAATTGAAATGTGAAATATTTAAGCTCACCAGTTATTTGACATAAATTCTTTAAGGGACTGATTCCAGTGAATTTTGTAGTAAAATTAAAATTTAAAAATTCATTTGAAATAATAGTAATCCCATAGATTCTGTCCATTTCATATGGGAAGTTTAAAGTAGTCTTTTATGGAAATATGGTATAGACCAATAAACATTTTTTTGTCTCACCTAGATTTTTGGTTACCTTGTGTTATTTTTACCTGACACTTAAACATTTATCATTGTCTTAGTATTAATGTAGCCTATTATGGTGTTACTAATTTATGAGCCATTTTGATTTTATTAGAAACCCTTTTTTCAGCTTTATTGAGATATAATTGACGTATAACATTGTGTAAGTTTAAGGTGTACAATGTGTTGATTTGATACACTCTTGTATTGCCAAATAATTACCACTATAGCATCAGCTAACACCTGCATCATGTCACATAATTACCATTTCTTTTTTGTGGTGAGAACATTTAAGATTTATTTTCTTTCTTTTTTTTCTTAGCAGCTTCCAAGTATATAATTCAGTATTATTAACTATAATCACCATGCTGTATTAATACCATCTTTTAACTGCAATTTTGTATCTTTTGGCCAACATCTCCCCTTTCCTCCCACCCTCCAGCCCCTGGCATCTGCCATTCTAGTCTCTGTTTATATGAGTCCGGCTTTTTTAGATTGCACATATAAGAAGATATCATACAGTATTTGTCTTTATCTGTCTGATTTATTTCACTTAGCATAATTCCCTCAAAGTCCATCCATGTTGTCACAAATAGCAGGATGTCCTTCTTTCTCATGGCTTAAAAATATTCCATTATATATAATATATATATATATATATATCTCACATCTTTATCCATTCGTCTCTTAATGGACGCTTAGGTTGTTTCCATATCTTGGCTATTGTGAATACTGCTGCAATAAACATGCGAGTGCAGATATCTTTTTGATATCCTGTTTTCATTTCCTTTGGCTATATACCCAGAAGTGGGATTGCTGGCTCACATGGTAGTTCTATTTTTAATTTTTTGAGGAACCTCCATTTTGTTTTCCATAGTGGCTGCACCAATGTACAAATCTACTGACAGTGCACAAGGGTTCCTTTATCTCCACAACCTCGCCAACACTTATCATTTCTTAGCCTTTTAGTAATAGCCATTCTAACAGATGTGAGGTGATATCTCATTGTGATTTGGATTTGCGTTTCCCTGATGATTAGTGATGTTGAGCACCTTTTCATGTACCTGTTGGCCATTTGTATGTCTTCTCTGGAAAATTGTCTATTCAGATCTTCTGCCCATTTTTTTAAGCATATTGTTAGGGTTTTTTTGCTTTGAGTTGTATGAATTCTTTATATATTTTGGATATTAACCCCTTATCAAACATGTGACTTACAAATATTATCTCCCATTTTATAGATTGCCTTTTCATTTTGGTGATGGTTCCTTTGCTGTGCAGGAGCTTTTTAGTTTGATGTAGTTCCACTTGTTTATTTTTGCTTTTGTTGCCTTTGCTTTGATGTCTATTAGAAATCTTGTATTCATGAAGGTGTATCTTTAGATAAACTTTTTTTTTTGACTGGGTTTTGGGGTGAGAAAGTGGATGCTGTATTGGGGTGAGAAAGTGGATGCTGTATTCCTTATCCCTAAACATTACATGTGCGACAGATATATTTGTTCTGCTTTTAAAGGAAAAAATTTAATCCCTTCTTCATATGTACTGTGTGAAGTCATTATGTATAGCTTGAGGAATGTGTGGAGTAAACTTACTGTTTTGGCTATGATTCCTTCTCTTTCACTTTTTTATTTTAAACCAAAAGTACATAGCACTATTAAAAGTTGAATTTGGCTTTCCAAGAGATCAGAAAGGTTGTTTTTAGAGCTGGCAGCATCTTAAAAAAATGCTTTTTAGCTCTTAGAAGAAAATGATTCCAAAGAACTTTTTGCCAGAAGAATCTTGAAAAATTGCAGATTTTTTTCCCCTTCATAATCTATAAACCTATAGCTACATGACAACTTTTTTTTGGTCAATAACATTCTCTTCTTTTCACTGGATTTTTTTTTTTTTTTAATATTGTAGCTCTTTTCTAAATAGTCTCAAAGAAATCTTGGTGTACTTTCCCCTTGGAAGAAACGTACCCTGTGTTCTTCTGTTTAATAGCTCCCTAATATTAAGGATATCCTTGCTTTAAAAGAAAAAAAAAAAAAACCTTTTGAGGGAAGGACACATTTCAATTTAAGCATTATTTTCTGAGAGTATTGAAATACAGAATGGTTTTATATACAAGACCTGGAAGGTCGTTTCCTCTAAATGGGAGACCCCTTTGGACCTTGCTAGGGAAGTTGTAGATTTGGTTTAAGAGCCAGCCTCTGTCAGGCCTTAAGTGAGACAAAGACAGAAGGTAGGGTCAGGAAATGAACAACCCGAGAGCTTCTGGGAGGAGATCGTCTTCATTTGAGATCTTATTTTATTCTTTGGTTGGTAGGAGGGGTAGAGGACAGCAAGCAATAAACTTTT